TGAAACTTTGTTAGTCTAAGGATTTGATTGGTCCGATTCAGAAAAATAGTATAACTTACCAAATAACATTGTAATGCCTATGAGGTCAGTTAACCTATCGGAAAATAGGAATTTAGCTAGACGTCAAATGACTGACTCTCAAAAGTTAAATAATCTAAAGAAAACGCTAGCCATTCCACTGCATTCAACTGCATTCAATCAAAAAATAATGTGGCATACAGGACTGAAAAGTGATTTAGTTAGATTTCAAGCGAGAGACAATCTAATCACGAACTTTGTTCATCGAATCACTACCAAAGATGGGCAACGGAATTGTATTCCGTCACAGGACTTGAATTCTACTTATACATTGGTGTTACTTTCCATTTGTGTCTCTGTTGAACTTGTTCTTGCATGTCATATATATATATATATATATATATATATATGATCTTACGTATCACCAGTTACTCCACAAAAACTATGGACATACCTTTCAGGGTTTGCAAGACATCTGCTTTGCAGTGTTCAACTTTCCAGGCGCTTAATCAGCTGTTTTCACCTCACTGCGTTGTTTGATTTAGCAATCTCATTGATGTATCCAACGACTTGTAGTCGCACATCTTCTGGAAGGTTTAAGAGTGTTTACTTCTTCGATAATATACTCATTTCGACTTGTGTAATATTTGACTGAGTTGATTCAAGCTGAATAAGTGTTATTTGCTCTGAGGTATGTTTTAAAAATCTGTGATAACTTGTTTCTGAGTAGTGATGTTCAGTAAAGTTTAGGATACCAATTATTCCGCATACAATCCTTTACAAATTCAGTACACATTCTTGATTCAAACAGCGTTCACATTGAACATCAGTGAACGCATTGAGTGGTAATTCCTTTCTTACCTATTTTTTGTTATGTTTTCTTTTCTCTTTACCCTCCTACTGCTTATCACTAGTAAGTAGTATGTGTTCATATTCTGTTAGACCCAATACCATAACTGTTGTTGGCTATTGAAGTTTAACTCACTTAATCTATTATTGTTCTATTTGATTCCCACTAATTATCTTATAAATTCTTATAAATAGGCAGTATCTGTCATTTATATGCCTCTCTCTGTTGAACACTGTTTATTCAAGTCCCTTTATTCTTTATCTGGACAATTACAAGCCGTTTAATACTTCGTGGATCGGCCCTGACACAGCCTTGTCGGCTTTTTTCTTATTGACGTATAATGCATTTGATGGCATTCAGCCAAATATACCTCACAATTTGACTTTTGTATATTGGAAAATATATTGAGTATAATATAATATATATAATATAATATTGGGTATGCAATCCCTGCAGTTGAGGAATGTTTCTCTTCCCCAGAACTCAGTAGGTGAAAACGTTCACGATTATACAAACATTATTCCTGTAAAATGAAGAGAAAATACTCTCGATAAGTGTTTGATGACTCACCTGTATTTGGTTAAAGCGATTTATCTTCCATCGACATCCGTTACGCTGAAATCATAAATTGTTCACGCTGTGTCATTTCTTCCGAAAGCCTACGACATATATATTCAACTGACACGGTATCAGTAGTATCGACCGAAACAGTCCAAAATAAACACATTCAGAACATCCTACTGATTTCTCACTACTACACACTTCCTCTGAGGTACTTCGTACATGTGATCATGTGTATTGTAACTGATGGATATTGAAAGAGGTTGTGTGAATCATTCGTTTCAGTTTCTCCCCAACACATTCGACACTTCCAAGTCAACTCCATTTCCTACCATTTTATCAATATCCTAAAAGCTGGTGAGTAGCGTTCTGTAGTAAGTTGGGGAGTTGTGCATACAATCAAGCTGATGAATGAACATAAACAGACAAACACCGAAAACAACAGCAGGACAGTCAGTCTGGCATGATGTCCCAGTGAAAATCAACCGAAGCAGCCATATGTTGAGCTATACAGTGACATTGATTCCACACAAAATCTACGACAAATGATATTTCAGAGAGTACACAGATGCACAGAAATCTCTGAGAGACATGAGTAGCACAACAGAGGAATTTCTAAGTTACATCCAAGTCTTTCTCATGTGAAAACCATGAAATGCACTCAATCAAACTTCTGGTGAAATGAATTGAGAATTTCGCAATCAATAGCCTGCCATCGTCCTCATGTGAACCACAGTCAGTCAGTATACTTCAAACTTCATAAAACACTGTTATTCCCTTCCCCAACTCTCTTCTCCTTGAATAATCTAGATGATATTTCTACACACTGAAAATATACACATTCTAACCTCTAATTCACATCGATTCGAAGAAATGAAATGACAGATTAAGCCAAACAGAGACTCAATTGGAAACTCGTTAGTAAAATTGGTATTAACGCGAACACACCATTAACAAAATCCGCCATTTAACCAAGAGAATTCAATGATAAAACATTAGGGGCGTGCATGGTGGTTGAAAAAGTGAGCAAGAGTCAATATAATTCTAATCCTCAAAGTTCAAATGTTGGTTGAATCGCTATTTGAATAGCAGATCAAATAATTGGTGGGTAGATTAACCAGTGCTTATGCATCACAGTGAGTAATAACTATGGATAGTGAGACAGACAATTCGTTGTCAGTTGATTCATACACAGTCACCTCACATTATTTAACATACTTCAATAGGATAATGTGGACATGTCACAGAATTCTGTGAATTTCTACGTGTCATCTACGTGGTGTTATCGAAAGATATCGTGCAGATTAATTATCCATGAGGTGCCTAATTCATTCATTGCTCCCGAAACGCCTTCATGTAAACATTACTTTAAAGGACATACTCTTTTATAGAACTCTACGATAACTAACTATACACGATTTTTATTAACCGTTCACCAACAGTAGGAGATGTATGCAGATCGGTTTTACAGCAATCCTGTTCTCACCATTGTAGCCCTGGTTTACTGAATATTATTTCCTGTGAATTTATCATTTTCACCTTCATCCTACCATAAGGAAGTTTCGAAATGTCAATGAGCTATGAATACCTGCATATTTTCACGATATTCCTCATTATATTTCAAATAGTTCCAGAATCTAAGACACGATTTCACTGCTCCTGAGAGCTTGTAAAAGCCACAACATGAGATTTAAATCTGAGCGAGAACAGGCCTATGCGAGTAATTCTGAAATACCAATATCAAGTCTAAATAAAGAGTCTCTCCTGGATATATCTCTAAAGTAAACACCCTTTCTATCACATGCACTAAATTGCTGACCGAGTGTAATGAGCCAGCTATTTCTCTGATTCTCATCAAGGTACTAACCAGCCAATCAATGTTTGCGATTACACGTCAACTTTCTCAGTTTGCAGTCCCACTTTAAAATGTCCCACGTCACCATAACCTGAACCGTAATTATGTTCCAACATCTTGTATGGTGTATGAAGCAATAAGCACCAACGCACAGACTGCATTAATATGCTTTAGATATGGCTATACAACCGCTATTTCAGTTACATTTAAATTAAATTATAATTATGTTGACGTCTATCTTGAGTTAGGTTTCTCATTTCATAGTGGTGTACTGTCCCGCGAACAGGATTCATTACAGCACTTTCAGTATTAATACCATCTGAATTCTTAGTAATAGATGATTGAAGACAATCTGTAGGAAGCCTTGTTGACCTATGTTTCGTGTTTGTTGGCACTCACCACTCAGCCAGCAAAGCGTATCTGCAACCTTGAAGGAACTCATTCACTTTCTGAGATTCGAAACCACGTCATCAAGTGATACAATCAAAGATGTCACCACTGAGCTATTCGGGTCGATGATTTAGCCCCAGTAAGACAGTATTGGATATTTTTTGACTGGGCACATGTCAGTCACTAATGTAATGTGTCCAATCCTGTCTTCTGTACAGACTGAATTCTATCATTCAAGTGGTGGCACAGTGGCCATATTCCAAACTTGACTGATAGAATTCAGTCTGCATCAAACAAAAGGACTAGATACATTATACTAATTACTGGCTAGTATTCAATCAATAAATCTCATCTGTTAGCGTATCACTAGGTTTATTGATATCTGATGGTGTAAACCTTCAATGAAAGCTTTTTGTAAATCATTTTGAGTCTGAATGGTGTCTAAGCTTCACAAAATGTGTAGACTGAAGCAAGTTATACGAATGACAAATATTAAGACAGATACTGAATGAATGCATGGAGGATTTCATCATGAGCTGACATCAGTTAGAGGACCACTGGAAAACCTGGGAATCATCAGTACGCACCCACAGGTATTCGAACCCAGGAGTTTCTGGCTACAAGGCGAGCTGGTAGACTACTGAGCCACTGGGACCCGACCCGATGGTCCTTGAATTCTAGCTTTTGCCAATTCACGAGATAGCGCAACCATTTCGCAGTGTCTTCTTCGATGAGTTACTGTCTCATCTTCAACCTGCTGTACCCTACTGATCACGGCTTCCCACTAGAACCCCAGGTTAACTGCCTGAATAGGGCCAGTCACTACTGAGCGTCAGATTAATTTTCAAGTATTGGTTTTGTAGGGATTTTGTTTGATTGCATGGAGGATTTCATCATGAGTTGACATCAGTTACTGAGTGGTAGACTGCTTATCTCTCATACAAGCTATTTGCTGTCATACTCTATTGGCTTTGATGATGAACTCTTCAGTGAAACATCTATAGTTTCGGTCTTCATATTTATAACACAAAGTACTAAAAACATCTTTTGAAAGCTTTATAGAAAGCATACTGCCTAATAAGCTCAGCTAAAGTACACGTTTTTAATTATTTTCTCTATGTGAAACGAATTTAGGCTAGAGTTCATGACTATGTTAATTCTCTTTTGAACGCACAATACCTCTCGAGACCCATGAGGACATTAAAAAGCAAATCAATAAGAATGAGGGAAATATGAATTTTCCAACTGTATTTACACATCCACTATATATTAACAGTAATGAAATATTATCCAATTTTATAAGATAAACTCATTTCCTTTGAGCTGTCAAGGTGTTGGTGGAATATTATCAGGATGGAAGTATTTCCAGTCTATTTCTTGAAATGGATAATACTCAGCACCACTGACATCACTAGTATAAATACCTGATAGTATCATTTGATCTCTTGCTTCATTCGACCATTTATCACCTGGTAACACCTCTGTATAACAACATTCAACGTATTCTTTGTTATCGACACGTTTTGAAGGAACTAGATAACATTCCCATGATGGTACTTTAAGAATACCTCGCCGATGAAATTGCTCTGTTAACTGAATCCTGATATTATCATACGTTTTTATGACTGATTCATCTTTGTTATAAAGTTTCTTAATACAATATCCATGAGTAGGCCTGTCTATTAAACTCAAAAGATTGATAACAATGAATATGTAGACAAGGCGTAATATTTTCTTAAACATGATTAGTGAATGACAGCAATAATTGAGGGTAGAATATTTAAAATTCTACATGATCGATACTTATGTGGGTGGGAATTCATTGTGCTGAGTGTATGTAGTATAAGCAGCTGCGAGACATTGCACTGCTTTTCAGACTTATCACTAAAATTTGACAGTTTGCAATTAGTGTTCTCTTGCATGTCAATCAAATAACTGTTGTGTTGTAATCCATGTTAACTGTAGTCTAACACTGTACCATTGTAAATAATTATAACAGAACTGGCTATTACGCGAAGGAAGTTAACTAATGGTTATTTTTTTCAAATCACCACGTTTCGAGCTCATTTGTCCTCTTCTCATTAGGACGGCTACTTTGTCTTGTTTCAGTGTGACATCTATATTCTGATTCTCCTTCTATGCTATTTCATAGTCCTGAATTAAGTCCTTTCTGTCAAAACAATACGGGTGAAAAACTTAGCGTAAGCTTCACAAAGAAGATTTCCAACAATTTACAGACTTTTATCAACAGCTGCCACCTTCGTCGGCTGGTTCCATACTGAAGACTAAATGGCTAGTCAGAAAGAATTAGTAACAAGAAATTCTGGATGGTAACAAACCAACCAAGAGCAGATTGCTCGACATATATGCAGAAGAAAATGGAGATGGACTCGGCATATATTGAGGAAACCGTCGAATGACAATGCGCGCCAGGCTGTTGATCGAGTGGAATGCCAGTGGGAAACGACGAGTGGGTCGTCAATGCGAAGGTGACATGGAGAAGATCGTATGGTTAAGAGGAGGAGATAAGAGATTATGAGCAATCGTGGTCCAAGCTTAAAAGGACTGCGGAATATAGAACAGAGTGGAGATGTGTTGCTGAAGCCCTATGTTCCACTTGGAACCCAAGGGAATAATAATAATCATTTCGTAGCAATAGTTAGGACGTATTCATTTAATTTGTGATTACATCTAGGATTTCATTTGATGGGTGGCAGAGATAACTCTACTATAAAGAAAAGTAGTGAAAGATTTAGATTTTTAGACGACCTTATTTATCTGAGAATGTACATTATCCTTAATAACGTGTTCTCAGATGAAATTTCAACGAGCATAGTATTTACTAACATGCATCACGCTAATTGTAGAACTTGTTATGTTCTGTAATTCATCAAAGTTCATTTGTAATGTACGTCCGTCAGTGGTGACCATACTTTGATTGGACACTGGTTAGTAACTAGTGTAATGTGTATGGTCTTATATTTGATGCAGCCTGAGTTGCATCATTGAAGTTCGCAATGTGACCACCATTCTAAGTCTCTCGTCAACGCGGTGCACGTTGAGTCGATGTTGTATGACTGGAAACAGTCGGGTGGAAGGCCTGTACCTAGGTTTGGTGCTTGTCACTTACCAGTCAACAAGGTGTATCTGCAGTCTTCAAGGAACTCATATCCCATCTTAGGTTCTAACCCGTGTTAACCTGTGCTGCATTCAGAGATGTTACCACTGAGCTATTCGTGATTGATTCTAAGGGATACGCCATGGTGACGAGTGCCAGTAAGCACTAAACTTCAGTCAAGGGCTTCTTGCCGATTGCATCGAATCATCTAAGATCAGTGGCGACTATGAATAGATTTACAGTTTTCTACCGTAAGGATTTCCATGAAATTTCTAACATTACATGGAGCAACATGATAAATTATAATGGTCTGTCTCCCTTCAGAGACTTCGAGTTGAGGAACTATGTTCACTAGTTAAGCCCATTCAGGCCAACAAGTCAATCCTTGACACATCAAAGTCGACTACGGCGACATCCATTAGCAAATACATAATGAAATAAAGCGCCATAAAATGAAAAATTGACCTCAAGACAGACGTCCACATAGTTATAGTTTACTTTAAATGTAAATGAAATAGTAGTGGTTGTACAGGGATATCTAAAACATATAAGTGCAGTCTCTATGTTGGTGCTTCTTTGTTCCATATCCCATACAAGATGTTGGAACATAATTAGGATTCAGGTTACAATCACTTGGGACATTTTAAAGTAGAACTGCAAACTGAGGATGTTGACGTGTAATTGCAAACATTGATTGGTTGGTTATCACTGTAACGGGTATCCGGAGGAGCACTGAATTCATTTCTCAGCTTCATGTAGAATTTTGAATGTAACAAGAATATTATGATGATAACATGTAAGCATTCATAGTTCACTGCTACTTAATACATGCGTTCCTAGTATTCGAATACTCTGAAGAGGAGATACCTGTGTGGTTTCAGCTGATCGTACTTACCTATCAAGCTTACAAATATTCCCAAATATCGAGAATTATTGATATTAACTGCATAAAAATGAATGGAAAAGTGAAAATTCAGTGGATAGACTCTTCTCAGTGAATTTTGCTGTCTCAAGCTAAATAATGTTGTATTTTGAATACTGTCTTCAGTGCGTGTCAATACTGATACTAGATGAGATTAATTATCAACTAAATGACTGAACTGACCATTACCATAAGGCTGCATTTTGGTGCAGTGGGATTTCATGTTATTAATAGAGTGATAGATAAAAAGAGAACTTCACTTGTGGATATAAGTAAATCTGACTTGATTGAGATGTTTAGCATACGTCTAGTGCATGCCGAACCAAGGACCTATGTGCTGATTAATGTTAAGTGACACTGAGGGAGACTGGAATGGCGTGGGAGGTGGTTTAACCAACTCATAACATCAATCCATGAAACGCTAGACTGTTATACTGATCTACGTAAGGAGGTGTAGTTAGCGTGAGTGGTATCATCGATATCTTATTGATTCATGACTCCTTAATGACTGTTGGTGAAATAAGTCGAAATGTTTCCCAATAGCGAAGGTGCACTCACCCATTGTGAACTCCTAGGTTTCTTCGATTTTCATGTATATCCTTACCAACCTAAACTGAACTGAACTTTTGTGCGAAGTTCTCTGCTGAGTTTCCAGTTAAGTTGAGTTTATTTCAATATCTATAAATGAGACCTGAAACTGCTTATAATTATTGTTGTTGTTATTATCCCCATAAGTTCTGAGTGAAACACAAGATCTCAGTCATACATCACCAATACACTATGATATTACTAGACTATTCTAGCCGGAATCGCAAATGTCCATATGCTGTCATTTCCGATTCAACTAGTCCCAATCATGTCACCTTTGTTCATCAAACTGGATGGCTTTAATTCACGCCCAACTCTACAGCCCGTCTCGTGTTGTCACCCAGCAATCACCCCGGCCTTAGCCAATTCATTATGCGTATTTTTTGGTTTATATGGTCTATGATGATTTTATTGACAGAGTTTCTCATGTTTTCTCGCCTGGCATGATATATTCACTGTGGAGCGAAGAGGGCTGTCTTCATTGTGTCGGAAATGCTTTCCACTATTTGGTATGTCTATATTCACAGGACAATTCTAAGAACTTGAAAAGAAAAAGTGACCAAGTAAATAAATTGAGCAGTGAGTTGGCAAAAGCAGGATTACCGTAAACAGCGTATGCATACAAATTCTACCATACTGTTTACGATTGATAGAGCCGCAAATGTTTATTTATCTAGGGATTCCATATAAGCAGATACCCTTAGAATGGAAGTAAAATTCATGGTTATTTATGCAGACCTGTTTCGGAAGCGATGAGAATTTCTAGCTATCTTGCTTGAATGGATTAGGCACCTCATCACTAATTAATCTGCTCGATATCTTCCGATAACACAACGTAGATAGCACGTAGAAATTCACCAAAGTCTGTGACACGTCCACATTATCCTAATGAAGTGCGTTATATAGTATGAGGTAACTGAGTACTCCACTTTGTCACGTCAAAACGATAATTCACGCTTATAAATCATCTGACAACGAATTGTCTGTCTCATTGTCCATAGTTATTACTCAATGTGAAGCATGAACACTGGAATACCCGCCAACGGATTATCTGATTGTTTATTCATATGTTGACTCAACCAACATTTGACTTTCGTGGCATTAGAATTTTATTGATCACTGGAGATTATTTCAATCATCGTGTACAACCCTAATGCTGTATCATTAAATTCAGTTGCTTAGACTGCGGTTCCTGTTACTGCTGTGTTTGCTTTATTAATGATTTAACTGGCGAGTTTCCAGTTGAGTCACTGTTGACCTTAATCACCTATTTCTTTTCGTTGTTTTGGTGTAAATTAGAGATTGGAATGTATATATTTTCTGTGTGTTGAAATGTCATCTATGTTAGTTAGGGGGAAGGGCGTTGGGGAAGTGAATTGCAGGGGATTATGAAGATTGAGTCGTGGTTACTAACTGACTGACTGTGGTTTACGTGAGGACGATGACAGGCTATTGATCGCGAAAGTCTCAATAAGTCTCACCGAAATTTCGATTGACTCTGGTTTCATGGTTTTCAAATGACAAGCACTTGGGTATAATTAGAAAACTCATGTCTTTCAGAGATTTCTGTGCATCTGTGTACTCTCTGAAATATCATTCGCTGGAGATTTTTAGTGGAATATATTTTACCATATAGATCAACATTTGGCTGCTTCGGTTGATTTCCACGGAGACATATTTCCAAGTTAATAATCCTGTTGTTTTTAGAGTTTATCACTTCATGTTCGTGCATCAACCTGATTGTATGCACAATTCACCTGCTTACTAGACAACTCTTGTTGAGGCCTTTTAGGATATTTATGAGATGCAGTAATCCAACTGACGCGCAAGTGTCGAATGTGTTGGGGAGAAACTGAAACGAATGATTCACACAACCTATTCCAACATCCATCAGTAATAATGCGCATAACCATATGAACCAAACACCTCACTGGAAATGTGTAGTAGTGAGAAATCAGTAGTATGTTGTGAAGATGTTTATTTTTGATTGTCTCTGTCGATACTACTGGCACTATTTCTGTTGAATGTATATTGTACGCCCTCGAAAGTAATGAAACAGCCTGAACAATTTATGATTTCAACGTAACGGATGTCGATGGAAGGGAAATGGCTTTA